TAATTATACTGCGACCCGTCGTTTCGGGTGCTTTGCAGCAGCCATGGTCACGGGGAGACGTATCCGGGAGTGTATATGTGTACTACTTCTGTTGTATCTTTTAGTAACTTTACATACTTTGTTTATGTGACATAAGTCATGAAAATTTGTTTGAAACTGCCCTTCTATTAATAATTCCTCTCGAATTATCTGAACGCAGTCAGCCAGCTGATTGCAAGCATATGCGCATACTTAAAAATGCCGTTTTCCGTGAAAGAGAATAGAGTCGAAAGCCGTTATTCCAACGGCTGCCACTGTTATGAACCGAAAATCCCATTGATAAAATTGAATTCCATATATGAAAGAATCAGCTGACGGCCTGGTTCGCGGAATGTGATTGGACGACATGATGCGCGTGCGACGCACCGACTGCAGGGGAGAAAGGGCAAAGCAGCTATTGGTGTAAAGCTTTCCGTTATTTGATATAAAATAATTGGAATTCAATTCAAAATTCTTTAACGTAAAAAAACACTACTGAACTTACAGAAACTTTTGCTGTAAATCAACTTTAATTTCAAATTTACTAATATATATTTAAAGCATTTGAATATGAGCAACGTCTGCGAAATTTTCTTTTATTTTTTTTAATGACCAATAATTTGTGAAACCTTAATAAAAAAATAACTACTTAATATAATGCTTATGAAAATGTCACCTAAAATACAAGTGTATTCACGCAATTTGTCTCTTACCAAAACGGCAGCAAAATATACAGAGAGCTAAATAATAGCTTGTATTTATCACACAGTTCGTTACTGGTAACTAGCGAGTACGTCAAAACCACCTGCCCCTCTAAACTAGATTAATCTCGTATGAACGGTTGTTTCTCTCATCTAATTCAATTTGTTCTTTGCTACACATTGCTCTGCTTATTAAAATGTGAAAATGCTCATTTATTTACAACCTCTAAAATATTATTCTAATGTAGTTCTTTTTGTTGTCCTAACGCGTTATGGTTTTTATTTAAAAACAAGAACATGATCGGAAATGTATGTATGTCATTTTTTTTTTTAATACGACCGCCTTCCATGCTGCCATCTAGCCCCTTCTCCCCACACACTTGAGTTCACCTGGGACAGGTGACAGATCAGCTGTTTGATACGTGATACCAGAATCTGCACGACATTCCTTAATCACGAAATTTATTATTAGCATAATATTCAAAGTTTTATCACAATTTGCGTGTCCTGTGAAGGGTTTAGGATAGAGACACGATTATGAAAGAAATTGATTATATAAAAAAGGGTTATCCACAATGTTTCAATTTTGCTTGGTAGGTAGTAGTACTTGTTATTTGATTAGGGACAGACTGAAAATCAGTATTTAGCTAGCCTAGAAAAAGTTTATATTCGTACTTTTCAGTGTATTTTTTTATTATTCATTGTACTTATAAGTTTTGTACAAGTGTTTGTTTATTAAACGGATTGATTGTTTTTTTTAACAGTTTTGAACATGAAATAAATGAATGAACGTACTTGAATTGACAACTATTAATTAACATTTTGTAGTTTTCTTTGGTGTTCGTGAATTTTTTGAATTTTGGCATGGATATGAAAAAAAAACTGTTCTACGTGTCTATAGCCTGTCGTAGAAGTTAACCTTAATCATGCGTATCACATCTGATACGTTTTACGGTAAGTATTAGGATAAGTGCGCCTTTTGAGTTATTTAGCCATATTTCAACTCATCGCTTTTCTTATAACATAATTTGAAGTGTGAACTTTTATGTACAGTTAAAAGGCGGTTTATAAACGAGGACATTCCTTTATATATATAGAATAAGTTGTGTGACCTTACTTAAGTTAAATGATAAATAAAATACCATACCAGATAACAAAATACATTGCAATAAAGAGTTCAGTATAAATAAGAGATAATTTGCATTTTATATTATAAATTTTTACTAATTATAATAATTAATTGACCGCCTCTGTAGCCAAATGGTTAAACGTCTTGCCTAGTATTGTGTTAAGTGCGAGAGGGTTCGAATCCCAGAGAATATAAAATTGTTTCGGTCGGACACAGAAACATGTTTGCCCAATGCCCCACGCGGGGGGAAACGGGATTTCATACACATGGGTACAGTTAGGAAGTTAAAATAACCTTGATATTTAATAAGTTCTATATGTAATTCAGATAATAAACATTTTATTTACATTGTTATTTAGAATTTCTATAAATGCATGATATAATACAAATTCCGTACCTCTTTTTGTTTGTGGTCTATGCATGTCTGGGGGTTCGATCCTCACAGGGTTTTCTAGTTGTTTATTTTCTAGTTAATTTATTTTCCACTGTGTTGTTCTTCCATCTTATTCTTCCTAAGGAATGACTTTTCTTCCTTTCTTTTATTTTCTTAAGTAAATAAAACACTTAGACGGTTGAAAACACAAAACTTAATATATAATATTTAAATGTTCCTTAAGAAGTTAAAATAAGGCATTAGTTTTTAAACCGAGGCGTGTTTTATTTAAATCTTATGTTCTTCTGACGTGTACACGGCCTAAACACAATTGATAGCTTTGAAGGGGAAGGTATAAACTTATTTGAGCATTAAAATTCCTCGAAAGGCTCAACGCAGGAAATTATCAAGGTTTTTAGCATGTGCGAAATAAGTTGATAGTAATTATTGGCAAGACGATAATTACGCAGACGAGTGCTCCATATTTTCTTGTAAGTGAATTCTCGTGTACTCTTTGAGGTTATAAATAAAATTCCGTTACTCAGCAGAATGGGAATAAGTTTTTGCGACCCGTTTTTAAGTATTCATCGACATGCTATCCTGTAAGCAGTTAGCAGTTGGACCGACTGCTAGGAGGGAAATGGCGGTGACAGGAATGTACCTTAGTTGTATGTATTAAAACTATGGGATGACGTTCGTGCTCACCTTTAGTGTCTTTGTCCCGTGTAATATATTTTTTCAATCTATAGAAAAAAATAAATTAATAAGCATCCAAAACGTCGGGCCGTAGTTAAAATAATTTTGAAACAAGTTTAACTGATATTCATCGCGTTTTAAACAGCTAAAGTGTTTTGTTTAAATGTGTACTACTCGCGTAAAGTACAGACAGTATATAAAGCGTCGAATTTGTTCTTCTCGCGTCAACAACACAATAAATATTGTGTCCAGAGCCTATCGCCTCGGTCGGCCAACACCGACACATCAGCATAACACCAAACGATTGGTCTGTAATTAATGTATTCACACGGCGTTACTAACTTTGAGGTCACTCAACTATGTGCTTATAGTTTTCAAATCCAATGACTCCACGTAGCTGTGCAATTTTCAGTCTTCCCTCTTTGCATTAGGGCTGACAATGCTTCGCAGCGAACGTCATATCGAGACGGTTTCGATTGTTTTTATCCGGGACAATGGAAACGTTTAATTGCGTATAAAGTTACGAAATAGTGTAAAATTGTGATTTTTTTATTAGGCCAAGTTTTGACTCTCGATTTAAAGTGTTGCCTATAGTTTACGACAAAGATCGCTTAAAAAAGCATTTTAACGGTTCAAAACGTGAAATATATCAGTTAACTTATTTTTAATTGCAATGCGACTTACGGCCGTAGTTAAATTAATTGAGAGGTTCACTATTAACCATTAAGAGTTTTATTTAAATTTACGATTAGTGTTATTTCTATTTTAAGGATTTTTGAAAAATAATTTCTTTTACCAATTACTTTATTATTCTAATTTTATGTCAAATATAATTAACCTAAGAAATACAATACCAAACTAAGTGACAAATTGGTGCCTAAAATAGCTGAGAAATGAGCTATCACCGATATACGAATACTAAACAATTGTGTTTGCTGCTTAAATATACATTTCGTTATTTATATTGCATATAGTCGCGAGTGTGGCGAAGGCCTATTGAGCAGTCCAGTAGTTCCGCTGAACATCCTGATGGTCACCGCTGATGGTATCGCAATGGTAATTTGATTATATTACGCAGTTTATGCATGAGCTGTGCCAACATACACAATTTTATCGACTTTTTAACACGAAAGAGGTATAATTTATAATTACGTTACATTTGTAGTTGCTTTGCGTCTATGCAAGCTAGCTGGCAAATTTTTATGATAAATAATTCAAATAATTTTCAAATAAGTCAGATGTACACTGCTCGCGTAAACTACAGACAGTACAAAAGAATAATTAAATTCCAACCAGTAGTATCTAAGATTCGCGCGTTCAAACGAACAAATTTTGCAATATTAGTATAGATTTTCAAACCCTGGGCCGAGGAGTTATCTTTCTATTAGCATCATATTTTCATTTGGATATACATCTCCTAACATCATCCACCAGTGGGTACCATCGCTCCAATATTGTCCAACCACACTTATATAACCCCACTGTTTTCAAAACGTCCGCACCACTCAACACTAGCCTACCCTAAATGATTACCTTTCAAACACATTGACAGCTATTTAATTTTGCACCATTACATTCATTCGTTTATGCTAAATTCAACCCTATTGGTAACGAAAAACATTCCATAACAAAATAAATAGGTTACTCGAAATGAGTACAAATCGCTTGACGATTGAAGTTTAGAGCCACGTCTTTAAAGGTGTTTTTCGATTGAGCCTAATTAATGTAACCGTCTGTGACGAAGATGTGAAATATTCGTTTTGAGAAACGTAGATGACGAGCGATAGTGCGTAAGAATAGGGCTGCCACTTGTATATAAATATGGTAAATATTTTTAAGCAAGAACAGAGGTCACATAGTTTTCGTCGTCGTCACATGTCGAGTGACTTTTAGAACAGAGTACACAGTAAAACAACACCAACATATATCTCCATTAAAATACATCCTGTATATTATTTATTTCAGTCTAAGCATTATATATTAAAAGATTAATAATTTGGCAATGTTTTTATCACGACTAATTTTTGTTTCTTTTCGTTTCAATTCATTTTAGATATTTAGAGCGACATTAGTTTGAAAGTCTTTAGCGCAGAAGTGCACAGACCGCGGCCCCCGGCAAATACTGGTGGCCCCAAAGTCCCGCAATACGGCGCAAATACTGGTGGCCCCCGGCAAATACTGGTGGCCCGCCGGCAAATACTGGTGGCCCGCCGGCAAATACTGGTGGCCCGCCGGCAAATACTGGTGGCCCGCCGGCAAATACTGGTGGCCCGCCGGCAAATACTGGTGGCCCGCCGGCAAATACTGGTGGCCCGCCGGCAAATACTGGTGGCCCGCCGGCAAATACTGGTGGCCCGCCGGCAAATACTGGTGGCCCGCCGACGGCAAAATTGATACTCAGAGTAATAAATTCTTATTCAATTTTACATGAATATCAATTTTTTATTGTCTTTAATTACCTATAGCTCTGGCCTGCCATCAGTTCATGATATTCTGAGTCTGTGCATTCCTTCTTTAGTGTATTAAAACCATATTTGAATAATTTAAATATCTCTTGTATGTACTACCGACATTCTCGTAGCGATGTAACGTCTGTATGTAACAAATAAGCACGATGTTGGCAGCCCTACTCGTTAGCTTTGGTCGGATAGGTGACTCACCGCGTTGAGTCATTCGATCTACTTACAGCACTCTACTGAAAACCGATTTACTACTGTAATACTGTTTACTCGAATTTATCTTATTTTATTAACGTAATACCGAATTAGAGGTGGTAAGGAATATTGCTAAGATTCTTTATATTATACATACAATTTAGAAATAGCACGTTTCGCGGTAAATATATTAGTTACTTATTAAAAAATTATTATATCTGCTGCCCGACCTTATATGCTTGATGCTTTACAGCAGCCGTGGCCTAGAATCCGATTGAAATTGATTTGTGGGTAAAATAAATTCTATATGTTTCCTAATTTCCTTACTTTACTGAAGATGTGCTCTCGTATTTGTAATTTCAAGGCCACAGTATGTGATATTCGAACTAGGAGGAAAATGTTCCGCTGAAAAACGTAAATTGGCAAGCGGAAAATATAAAAGCGAAAAGTTCCCAAGTGGCGAACAAGATAAAACGCGCAACTCGCGATAAGAAGAAGTTATAACGAGGACTTGAGCCTTGTTCAGTTAATTTCTTAAGCTGTGCTTCGAGTTCACTCAACAAATAACATGTACAGACTTCCCTTTGCTCCAACTTGGGCCGAGGAAAATTATAAACGACATTTCGGTATTACTACGATGTTTACTAAAAAACATATTTGCTCGCGAAGGTATGTTATTTCTCGTTACTGCTAAAGTAAAGTAAAAATGTACTCTTAATAACATTTTTACGTTTGGTTTGGGTCTACAGTGTGGATCAACCTATTGACATTACAGGCACAGAAATCCTCTCGAATAGGCGGAGGTTTTGAGACGCACTGCGCTGCTCCAGGGCGAGTGGGTGGGATTTGGTGGTACTGCCGCTATTAAATTAATGATAACCGAGGCCGTTAAATGCTCTTCGAAGCTCGAAGCAATACCTAGAATGCCACTTTTTACCGAAAGCCTTGGTTATTATTACAAAGTTTTCCAATATTCATCCGTCGGAAGTTGCCCCCGCAAAATTGATAAAGTAGTAAGTACACATTAAAATAAAACACTTTAACGGTTTAAAACGCGATGTAAATTAGTTAAACTGGAAATTATTTTGATTACGGTTTGACGTATTGGATGGTTTGCAGCAGCCTTAGTCACGGGGACATTGCTGCTAATATATTTCACGTTTTAAACCGCTAAAGTGTTTTATTTAAATACATTGTTTCAGTGAATCAGTGCATTATGTACACGTGTACCTAAAACTAACACGGCCAGGTAAAAACGATTTCGTTTCGCGATGAATCTCGCCGTACTCCGGTAGCTGTTGTTTGTCTTATAAAGGTAGGTAAACACAATGTCAGCCGAAAATCCCTCGGACAGTATCGACGCCTTCAATGCGTGATGGATGAAGCAATCGGTCTTGTGACGCCGAGGGACTGCGTATCACTCGCCTGCATACTGTGTCGCAGTTCAAAAGACTGTTCGGAAATTTGAAAAAGTCTTTGAATATAGCTATTGAATTTCGGCACGAAGGTTGGAAATGTCTTGAAGACAACGTACAATGGTGGAAACTTTTTTGAACGTCCTTTTGTAGCTAGAAATAAAAGGAGATATACCTACATCGGTTTTCGAGAGTTGTATTCAAAAAAATATATATACGAATTGCCTCTTAGCTAATAAGCCTTTACATTATTTAAATAACTATTTTAGTAACTCTGGCTGTGTTTAAAATGTAAAGTATAACAAAGGACGATACCTGATCAATAAAAATTTGTACGTAAAATAATTAAAAATACAAGCAAGTAAAAATAATATCTTACTATAACAAGTCATGTACAACATTGGCAACTTTAAATAACATTATCGGTAACACGTGTACTTTATTCCCAAAAAATGTAGCAAAAAACCTAATCTTGAATCTTGAGCGACTTTCAAGTGATTATTTTTGCAATACAGCTTTGCAATAAAAAAAGATTTTGATGTGAATTGTATATTTATTATTTAAAGTAATAGTTGTACTGTCGTAAACAACAATAAATATAAATAAAAAAATATAAAAAAGCAAAGCTTTGACCCCGACGTGATTTGAACACGCAACCTTCTGATCTGGAGTCAGACGCGCTACCGTTGCGCCACGGAGTCGGTAAATAATGAACTCAAAATATGGAACATAATCATTGAACTGAACGAAACGCTCGTAATAAGAGAAATTTTTATTGATTAGATAATATTATCAAATAGTACAGTGATTGATGAATAACGATATCTACTTGCCACTTAGCTCAAAGATTTGTCCTTTGTAAAGGCAGCATGTGTTAAGTATTTTACATTATAAAATAAGTTTTAATTGTAATTATGTTATTAAATTGGCTAGTTAGTTTTTTTACTGACAATAACTTATAGATAAATATATATTAAAAAATAGTGTTGGGAACTCCTAGTGATTTTAGTTGACAACGATTGAATTAAGACGCTTTTCACTACGCATTAATATTAATTTCCGAAGCGACGTCCCAACTAGAAAAAGCTGCGAATAAACAGAGACGATTCTTTTAAATTGCTAAAAATAAAGCGCTTTAGCTCGCGCCAGTTAAATTGTTATTCGTATAAGTTTAGTTTCGTCGAGAGAAATTCCATTTTCGCAGAATCGCGGGTGCCATCCGACGATAAATATGTTTTGAAGAATATTAAAAGCAATTAAAAAGCTAGCATTCGTGCTTCGCCTGTGTTATTAGTTCAACAATTTTCATATTAGCTTTGTCAGTTTGTGGCCCAAGCTGTCGGCTCAACGTTGCTTTAGGATTGCTCTATGTCGAGTACCTACTATGTAAGAAATGCCGACATGCTAAGTCAGAAAACGATATTACATGCTGCGATATTACGTCCAAAACACTACATGCTTTGCGACAGCCGTGGGCAAGGGGGAACTGGTCTGCTGCGGAGACTTGAATTAAAATAACTGAACTAATATATTTCGCGTTTTAAACCGTTAAGTGTTTTAATTTAAAGTGCCACTCGCGCCAACCTAAAAAAATAGAATAAGTGAATCATTTCGTATTTTTTTAAGAAACTGTTAGAGAAAAACGGTTCTTTAGGGCGAAATAAAAAACAATGTGATATTGTATTATCTTTTTTTCTGTCTGTTTATTGGTTCTTACATGGTGCGAGAGATGCACGGCTAAAAGGATTGAACAAATGCGATGATGAGGTGTGGTGTGGTGTGTTAGTTCGAAGGGCAAAGCACAAGATTGAAATGCTGTGGTGGTGCTTGAATTAAGTAAGTACCCGTGACGTAAATATTTTCAATTTTAAATGTTATTTATTAGAAGGCTTCTATCTATTCTGTCATGGGTTTACTTTCTAAATTTGTCACCTGTGTTTAGAAAATAGTAAAATCCCGTTTCTCCCCCAGTGGGGCATGGGGCGCACACAATTCTGTGTTCGTTTCACTGATCGGTCTTGTATACCGGCAAGTACTTCATGAGACTTCTGTGCCCTACCCGCTCACAACAATTTATTGTTTACCCGGAATTCGAACCCGGGACCTCTCGCGCTTAACTCGTTTAGCCATTTAGTTACACAGGCGGTTTATTATTCTTAAGGCATGTTTGTCACAATCCGCCGTCGCTTGTGACTTGAGCCGTATTTTCTAAGCGATTCAAAGTAAGTGCGACGCAAGTTTAGGAACAGTGTCGTTGCACCACCTGTATTGTAATTACTTTAACGACAACCCCTTCCCCTTCCCCCTCCACCCCCCGAGGGTCGTGATAGAGCTTCAATGTCGAGTTGAAACAGAAATATTCGGTGCAACACCGAGTATCTTAATAATATTGTAAATTTGAGATACTAAGTTTGTTACATTGTCCTTTTCGATCGTCTACACATTGAATAAAAAATTGGTGAGTAGATGGATGTGTCTAATTCCATTCCCGCCTCGCTTGATTCTTTTTTTAAAAAGAGAATGATCATCGTACAAAATAGACATCAGTTTTAGAAATGATTTTTGTTTCATTTTTTAACTTAATAATTATTTACTGTATGTAGTTTACGCGAGTAGTACACATTAAATACAAGTAAATACATCTCCCCGTGTCCACGGCTGCTGCAAAGCATCCAAAAAGTCGGGTCGAAGTTAAAAATTTTCAAATAAGTTTAACGCGTTTTATATTGTTAAAGTGATTTAATTAATATTTAAATTTGTTTTAATTAATAATGATTCTTTGATAAATTATTAAAATAAAATGGCAACTCCTAACAAAAGGGCCACTCAACATATCGTTACGAACACGCTTGTGTTGCAACGCTGATTTTCACTCGATCGTACCAGGTAAATTTCGCAATATAGATTGGCCAAAAAAAATGTCTACTGTCCATTTTTGATAAGAAGAATGGATATCCTTTAATCATTCTTGGAATAATACACGTCCATCCACAATTAAACCGAAGCAACCCGCGGCACACAACTAGTGTTTGTCCGGCCGAGTTAATGGCTGCGGTCAAGCCACGGCTCCCGGTGCGAAATGCTCTAATGACGGCAATTACAATAAAATATAGTTATTGATTATTCGCCACTAACATTTCGGGATACTCCGTTCGGCATTGCAAATTCAAGTCAATCGCTTCGCATCCCGTTGCGGGGTCACTCACGTTTTACTAAATACCAAAAACAGCCTTTATTATATTGATACTTCGACCTTCGAGCTGTTAGGGCGTAGCGATCGAGAAATGCTTTTTGACATCAGGAGATGTTTCAGGCCCCTCTGAATTACAACGGCCGAACAGTTTGAAACTCTAAGGAGCCTTTCAAATGGCCGCGAAATTCTTAATATATGCTCTTTCTGTGAGTCAATCTAAATGCACGGATATAAATATTATGTTTTTTTTTTCAAAGAGGGATAATTATTCATCTTTTCACGACCTTTGGTTTTACTGGATTGCCAGCACATTTTAGGAAATAATTGCTTTACAAAATTTTTGGAACATAAAGACATCATTGTTGTTTCTTTGTTACCAGTCCCAAGTAAGTCCAATTTTAGGACAGAATC